CCCTTGTTTACCTTCAAGCCTTTAAGACCCCAGACGCTATATCTTTTAATAGCCAGGCACCATCAGCTTTCTTCACCATATTGCTTATGCTGTACTGTGCATTTTCTCATTAAATTGTTTGCTTTTAATACTCATATGATGTTAGTAAGAGGTAACCATAGAAGAGTTAGGAATTTCTTTATTTACAAAATCCCTGGAAATTATTATATTGCTTTTTCTCTTCCTCCAGGGTACATTTTCATTGTTCCCATAAAGTCAATTTTTTATGACATTTGGAATGCTTATCAGTTGCACATAAACATTAATAACTCACAGTTTTGTTCTCTATTCTTTCACTGTGATAACAAAAGATAAAAGGTCTAGACCAATAATTCTCAAACTATTCAAATCAACAGAAAGGTAATAATAATGGATCCCAGGGCCTCACCAATGATGTAGTGGTTATGCATTGGGATACTCACCTCAAGGTCAGCAATTTGAAACCACCAGCTGCTCTGACGGAGAAAAATGGGATTTCCGATTCCTATAAACCAGTGGTTCTCAACCTGTGGGTTGTGACCCCTCTGGGGGTCCAACAACCCTTTCACAGGGTTCTCCTGATTCATAACAGTAGCAAAATTATAGTTACAAAGTAGCAATGAAAATAATGTCATGGTTGGGGGTCACCACAACATGAGGAACTGTATTAAAGGGTCACAGCATTAGTAAGGTTGAGAACCACTGCAACAGTTATTATCTCACAGGAGTCACAGCAGTTCTACCCAATCCTAAAAAGTCACTCTGAGTCAACATTGCCTTGATGGCAGTGAAACAGAGGGTGTCACTCCAGAGATACCAAACTAGAATTTATGTGTATATGATTGGGGTACAAGGGACTTGAAAAAGTTTGTGGAAAAATTCCACTATTTTTGAATTTCATTTTTCCCATGAAGTTTTTGAAGCCAAGATCCATCTTTACAAGTAAACTATAATTTATGACCAGGTAATGTATATCTACTTCTAAGTTAGAACCAGATAAATTTACTCTGCAGACTGCAGTCAGAAAAATCCAAGTGTTACTGACTGAATTATGCTTTCTAAACTAGTAAATGCTATTTCTCCTGCTTTTTAAAAGCTCTTTTATGGCTCCCCATATCCACAGAATAAAGACCAAACTCCTTAAAAGGGCACTCAAGTTTGTGTATGGCCCCAAGTTTTCAGCCTCATCTGAGGCCTCTATTTTCTAGTCTACCAACCTTTGCACACTCTGCCTCTCTAATGCGCTCCTTGATTTATATAGCATATCCTGTTCATCCTTCAAAAGTCAGCTCAAGTCTGCTCCCCACTTCCTGTGAAAGATCTAAATGTAACTACTACCCATTAACCCGCTGACCACCATCCAGCTTCTTACAATGTTGAGTGATGTATCCTTAAAGAAACACTCCTATGCACAGCACAACACAAGCCAGGCTTTCCTACGCCTCTGGCTACTCTTCTTTGGTTTAACTTTAAATGTTGGTATATTTAAAAGTTCTGTACTCAGTCACTAATTTCGCTCTAAATGCTTTATATGATATAATCTACTTCCACAGCATAATAATGTTCTGCTAAGAACTACCAAATCTGTATCTCTAACACCTACATAATTCTACTGAGTTACAAATCCACATATCATATTATCTCCTGAAGTCAAGACCCACATTCCCACATTCATGTTCAAGTCGCCATTATCTCCTACCTAGGCTTACTCCTTAACTACTCTTTGCCTTCCACTTCTGCTCCCTTTCAACCCGCTAATCTCAAAGTCACCAAGTAAAATCCGCCAGTCATTCCATGGAACCTCGGGTGGCAAGGTGGTTATTTATTAGGCTGTAATGCATAAGGTCCACATTTCAAAATCACCAGCTGCTCCTGGAGAGAAAAACTGGGTTTTCTATTCCTGTAAATAGGTAGTCTCTGAAACTCACAGGGGTAGTTCTACTCTGTCCAACAAAGATCACTATGAGTCAGCATTGGCTTGGTGGCAGAGTCTGGGTTTTTTCGTTTTTTTACAGTCATTCGACAGAAGACAAATTTGGCCATCTACTCCCATAAAGATTTAAAAGCATTTGAAACCCAAAAGGGTAGTTCCACTTTGTCCTACAGGGTGGCTATGCGTCAGAATAAACTCGATGGCACTGAGGTTTTGTTTTTGGTATCGAGACACAAGCACACCCCAGCCCCTGCAAACAGCACAAGAAAATCTCATCAAGCCACTCGCCTACCAGAAACCCTATAAATGTCTTTTAGGGATAAAGTTCAAAATCCTTTGTCAAGGTCGGCATGAACTGACCTTTGTAGCTCCAAATCTCACCTATGCTTCCATGTTCACTCTATGTACCTGCCAAATGCCTGGAACACTTTCTCACATCATGCAGATTCCCTCTCTTCATCTAGCTAACTCCTGCTCATTCTTCAAGCCTCACAACAGCATCCTATCTTTGGGAGACTATCTTTTAACTGAGACACTACACTAGATACTCCTGACTCCTACCATAATAATGTCTTTCATGCATAACTGAACTTATTACAGAAACTCTATATTACAGAAACCTGTACAGTTGTCTACATCTACACCTACATTATTCTACATTGCAGAATCCTGTGCAGTTGTCTACATCATTTGATTTTTAACGCCTAACGATAGGTCAATTTCTTCTTGATCAATACTGTGCATAGAAACTAAAACAATACCAGCCAAGATAAAAAACAAAACTGAGCCCTCAGGGAGGAAAAAAAAAAAAGTCCCGACATCTGAATGAGTGAAGCTCAACCAATTTTCTATCTCTAAACTTATTTGGCTTACTGCCCCCTTTTCAGAAAAAAATTAAAATTGCTCAACGCCCCTCCCTCTGATTAAAAAGTTTCCCATAATCCAGGATAATGTGTAGGTTTTTGCAGACCCACCTGGATAGTCTCAGAACCGCCCAGGGGGCGGTATTGCAAAATTTGGGAAACACTTATCTAGCTGGTTGAAGCGCTGCTGCTTCACCTACTCAACCCATAACTACTTTAGGCAATTTCTCAAACAGAGGAAAGCAAACAGTTGAGGTCTACTGCCATTTTCCACCCTTTGAATGACTATCTCACACTACCAATCTCAACAGGAAAAAAATGACAGTCCCATTCTCCCATTAGTGGCCTTATTAGCTCAGCAAAGGGACCTTGGAGTGGTGTACGTGAACAGATAGAAATAATATCAGAAAGCAATTCGGACCAGAACGAAGGACAAAGACTTTAATTCCTCACATACCAAGCGAGGTGGTGCTGCCTCTGTGCGGTCGCGCCCGCCCGGGGACGCAACCAGGCGAGGACTGTGGGACCCTGAACTGCAGGGAAGCGTCCTTGGGGTCGAGGACACGCCTCTGCCCGGGGAAGCTCCGAGCGTCCGCGATGACTGGCGGCGAAGTTGCAGCGACGCCCCAGCGGGGACGCTTAGTGCAGGGCTCACAGCCGGTGCCCGCACTCATGTCGGCACCCGCAGTTCAAAGTCCCCGGGACGGCCCAGTCCGACTGCCTAATTCCCTAACCCTAATAAGGTCAGACTGTGCCTCCTTTTCGGTGCCTCCCCGCACCACTCCCTCTCTACCACTGCCTGCTTCTGCAGTTGTCCTGACGGCTTCCCACGGCGAAACCCAGCTATTCGCCTGCTTTCCCTCTTTCACAGGAACCCCACCTGCATCAGAATGCGCTGCTCTGATTCCGGCTTCGCTCAATTTCCCACCACCGGAAAGCTGCCGTCGGGCGCTTCTGGCTTCCGGGTCGTGCACTGTCGTAAGGCGGAAGTGTGGCGCTTGACGGGCGCCGTCCCCCGGAAGGTCAACGTGTGAAGGGGTCTGTAGTAACCGGGTCTTCCCTCGGTTATTTGGCGAAACGGCTGAGCTCACGACCTCGGCCTGAGCAGACGGCGGAAAGCAGACGGCCTGGGAGTTTGACATCATGGAAGGCGGCGGGGGAAGCAGCAACAAAACCACAGGGGGGCTGGCCGGCTTTTTCGGAGCCGGCGGAGCTGGTTACTCTCACGCGGATTTGGCCGGAGTTCCCCGTAAGTAACGAGTCGACCCGGCAAACATTTCTTACTAGGACTTAAGGTGCTCTCTGTTTTTTCTTTTTTGTTGGCATTCAGAAACCTCAATCCATAAATGTGCTTGATAAAATTGATGTATGGATTTGTTTTTGTATGGATTGTTATAAGAGCTGTAAAAGCCCTCAATAAAATGATTTGTTAAAAATTTAAAAAATCAATCTAGTGGAGGGCTTTGTGTCGGTCCCATAGTTATTAATTAGCACAAGGTTCAGATTCTAAATCTCAAAAAAGTACTCGTTGGGACAACATTCAGTAATAATCCGCATAGGAGCTAGAGAAATATCTGGGATTTACCAGGAACATCTGAAAGAGCTCAGAAGTGAACTTAAAAAGGTGATTTGTGGGCATGAAGTAATAAACCAGGTAATGGTTCTAGGCAGGGAAATACGTGAGATCATAGGTATACCGACATGAGTATCCTGACTGTCCTGTCCTCATTCCAAGGAATATTTGTTCCAACTCTTTTGGGACTTTATAAAAATTTAGCTGGATACATAGACGCTAGCCCTGAGGACAGTAGGAAGTTCGTAATGGATAAGCTGTTTACTAAACTATGTTCCTTTGAAAACTTTTGTAATACAACCATTCTTCGCGTAAGGTAGTTAAGTTACAAAGACCATGTTGTTACCAGAAAACTGGCATTTTCAAAGCACTGAGAATTATGGCCTAAGCAAGTTAGCACAGTCGTCACAGTCAGTAATCATTAATGACAGCTGTTTGTTTATGTGCAAAAAAATAATAGGTTTCTAAACTGCAAAATGTCATATAACAAGATGGTTAACTGAGTAGATATCTTTCTCTAGAATACTTAATGAATAAGAACAATAAAAGGCCCTATGGTCTAGAACCTAGACCATACATGTATGGGTCTGTTCTAAACAAAGCATGTTTAAGCATGTTCCTGATCAGCATATGACAGCAGACAAATTCTCTTAGTAATACACTTGTCTTAGTCTCATTAGAATGCATTCCCAAAAAATACACCTTTTTTTTTGCCATAGAAAAAGAGGATTTTTGAGGTCAAAGCTAATATAAAATTTTTAACAGAAGTCTGATATCCCAAATTGTTGAAGTTTTGAACCAAGTTTCCAATGTTGCTGCCCCACGTAACACAGTTTTTGGTTGAATCAAATATATATATGTTTTTTAATCATTTTATTGGGGGCTCGTAAAACTTTTATCACAGTCCATATATATATATCCATTGTATCAAGCACATTTGTTGCCATCGTCCTCAAAACAATTTACTTTCTACTTGAGCCCTTGGAATCAGCTCCTCATTTTTCCCCCTTCCTCCCTGTTCCCCACTCTCTCATGAACCCTTGATAATTTATAAATAATTATTATTTTGTCATATCTTACACTGTCCGACATTTCCCTTCACCGACTTTTCTGTTGTCCATCCCCCAGAGAGGAGGTCACATGTAGATCCTTGTAATCGGTTCCCCCTTTTTCCGCCACCTTCCCACCACCCTCCCAGTATCGCCACTCTCACCACTGGACCTGAAAGGATCATCTGTCCTGGATTCCTTGTGTTTTCAGTTCCAGTCTGTACCAGTGTACATCCTCTGGTCTAGCCAGATTTGTAAGGTAGAATTGGGATCATGATAGTTGGTGGGGGGAGGGAAGCATTTAGGAACTAGAGAAAAGTTGTATGTTTCATCATTGCTACATTATACCCTGAATGGCTCATCTCCTCCCTGTGATCCTTCTGTAGGGGGATGCCCAGTCTGCAGATGGGCTTTGGATCCCCAATCTATACTCCCCTCATGCTCAGTGATACGATTTTTTGCTCTTTGATGCCTGATACCTGATCCCTTCAACACCTCATGATCACACAGGCTGGTGTGCTTCCGTGTGGGCTTTGTTGCTTGTCAGCTAGATAGCCACTTGGTTACCTTCAAGCTTGTAAGACCCCAGACACTATATCTTTTGATAGCCAGGCACCATCAGCTTTCTTCACTACATTTGCTTATACACCTGCTTTGTTTTCAGCAATCTTTTGGGGAAGGAGAGCATCATGGAATGCCAGTATAATAGAACAAACTGTTCTTGCACTGAGGGAGTAGAGTATGCGAGTAGAGGCCCAATGCCCATTTGCTACCTTAATACTAAACCTATAAACATATGCACATGGATCTATTTCCCCATCATCATATATAAATATATTGACATATGTGCATGCCTGTATTTAGACCTCTATAAATGCCCTTTGCCTCCTAGTTCTTT